ACCTGCTATAAAAATTCAATACTCCAGCATATCCTCCACCGAAAAGGTGTATAACACAAGACTACAGAAGGTTAAAAAAAATCTCTTTGAAGAAGAAATACCTATAACTCCGCAAGAACACTTTAGAAACCTCCAGTCTGGTGGAATATCACCTACAATTGATGTAGTATCTACTAGTGATGAACATTTTGATGCTCATGGTAGTAGTAGTAGTGAGCATGCTTCAGAAGAAAATGAAGCTTATAGTAGTGGTACTGAATACATTCCAGATACTCCCTCGGTTTCATCAGATTCTGGGAGCGAACCTGGCAACAGTTTTATCCAAAAAGACGACCATTTATGTAATAAACAGGTATATTGTGATGCCAGTTAATTATAAATCTTACAACCCCGTAAGTCACAAATAATATTGATACACCAGGTGCTTTAGAATACTATCTGAAATGAACAAAATATAATTTATAAAGAGCGGTTTTTGTGAGAGGAGCTTAATGCAACATGCCCTGCTACAATTTTGAGTATATTATAGAGAGATCGAAATTTTCATATGTTTGGCGCTATGATCGTTGTTTTGTCCAATAAAATGTGAGTTTTGAAGGTTAAAAAAAGCTATAATAAATGTTTTGTTTCCAGGAAGAAATATCTGATCCATATACTGAAAAAGTTACATTTTCGGGCCGCACTGTTGAACCAATTCTGCCATCAGAAGAAAACCCTTCCAATAATTTTGGGATATATAAACAGGATGGTGAAATGCGCAAGGGAAAGAAAAAGACAGATTTCTGTTTCTTTTGCGAGACTCCAGTGTTAAATTTTGCCAGACATATAACACGCAACCACCCATCAGAAATCGAAGTCCAAGAAATTCTGCTACATCCAACTCGTAGTATAGTAAGAAAACAGCTCTTGGACCGTTTAAGAAAAAAGGGAAACTATATAAATAGTAGTGTCGCGTGTAAGCCAGTCCAAAGTTGGCGCTCAGCAAAAGATCTTTTGCCTTGCGATAATTGCCTTGGTTTTTAATCTAGAAAATTTTTATGGAGGCACAAAATTAAATGTACTGGATCAAAGAGCACACGCGCTCAGGTGTCTGCCCAAAATTTATTGGTATCTAGCTTGAGAATTGATCTAAATTTGAAAAAGACGGTTTTTCCCAGGATGAGAGCGGATGAAATATCTCTCGTTGCAAAAAGAGATCCACTTATTTGTGCTTATGGAGCAAGGTACATGAAAATTCACCGAGAAAAGCATTTCATCAACGTAACATCTAGGAAAATGCGAGAAATTGCTCGATTTTTAATCGAAATAGAAAAAATGGAGCCAAATATTCATTGTCTCTTTGATGCTCTGAAACCTAAATATTTTGATACAATTGTTGCTGCAACAAAAGCAGTGGCAAATATGACGTAGAAAAGGATAAATTTGAATCACCAACCTACGCTATGAATATGGGCACGAATCTGAAGCAATGTGCGGAGATAGCTATTATATTTGCTCTGAAAAGGAAACAAATCGCCTTAACAGTTTCATCTGCTGAAGCAGAGGCAGATTTAAAAACTTTGATAAAAGTCATTGAGTCACAATGGCAATATGAGATTTCTAGCCAGGCCGCCAGTGATATGAATATTAACAAGTGGAATAAAGTTACCCTAGTGCCACTTGCCAGTGACTTAAAACTGTTCAAGGAATTTTTGATAACGACGGCAAATTCTGCCGCAACTGCACTTCAGAACGACAGCGACGGGGACGTTAGCCAATACGTACTTCTTTTGGAGTCTATATTCTGCCGTGTGATTTTACTTAACCGAAGACGTCCAGGTGAACTGCAAAGACTGACACTGGACAATTATCAAATATTGGAGAAAAGCGATTCCAGCTCAAATTATGAAGAGTTCTCCGAGGTTGTTTCTCCAACTGAACAAATTCTACTCAAAAGATTTAAAAGGATAGTAATAAGAGGTAAAAGGGGACGAGGAGTACCGGTTCTTTTTAGTCCCGACATTCAAGGACACATAAATATTTTAATTAAAATACGCAACAAATTTGTTAGTGAAAAAAACCCATTCCTATTCGGTAATGCTAAATCAAATGAAAGTATATGTGGTTATAAGGTTCTGAAGAAATTCGCACTGACATCTGGGGCAAAGAACCCATCAGCTATTACAGCAACTAGACTCCGGAAGCATTTGGCTACTCTCACACAATTATTTGATATGTGTGAGAATGATTTGGAGCAGCTGGCTAGTTTTATGGGACATACCATTGGCGTACATCGGGAAAACTATCGTTTACCAAATGATGTATACCAAACAGCCAAGATTTCAAAACTTCTGCTTTTAATGGAAAAAGGACAAGCTGCTCAGTTTAAAGGAAAAGCCCTGAATGATATTAATTTAAATTTGGAAGAAGACTTGATGCTTGCTAACGAAGAACAAAGCGAACGTTGTGAATCGCCATCTTTGCATTCCGACGTTCCAGAACCGTACAGTTCAAAAATTCCAGAGAAGAAACATGAATATCTTCCTAAGAAAAATAAACGAGTACTCATTAAGTGGACCGATGAACAGAAAAAAATTGTTATAAATTTTTTTGCAAATCATATAAAAAACAGAAAACCACCGAAACGAAATGAATGCGAGGAATTGAAAAGGCTCCATACCGAAATATTCTCGAATAAAGATTGGCCGAAAATTAAAGTATTCGTCCAAAACCAGTATCATAAATATAATAACAAATGAAGGAATTTTGTTTTACTTTTCAATGGTTCCTATGAGAACAGATTCTGATTTTATTTTTGTAAGTGTTGTATAACTATTTTCTACACCTTACTTTTGCCTGTTCTTATTTAAGAATAATAAAGTGTATTCTATGTAACAAGGTATTTTTCTACATCCAGCATTTTCATTCATAAAAACTTAATGCACTACCCCTTGTATAATGTAATTTGTAAAACTTATCATGTGGTTATATCTGTTATTCATTTCGCTTTGCCTGGCTTCATACTAAAAGCACATGTAACGTCGTAGGAAATATAGGAAAAAATGAAACACAGTGTGTCCCCAGAAAAAAAACTTTATTCTTCTTTTGATCCATTTTATTGTCAAAATTAGCTTTCAAAAAGCATATAATTTTATTTTGATAACCGCCATGTGATAAAACTCCAAACGCCATCTACTGGTAAGACATTTTCTGATTCTTTATTAACAACTTTTTATTTACAATTTTATATTACAACAAGGGCACTTACCTGCTTCATGTCCATTTGATTTGAAGTTAAAACAAAATCCTTTGTACCTCTTCTTAGGTGTCCGATGTCTTCTTCCTTATGGGGTTATTACTGATAGTCCACATATGGCTCTTGCGAAGCGTTTTTTCCTGAACACCTTTCTTAGATATTGACTGCTAGAAATCGAGTTCAGCAGACCGAGCGCTGAACTTATTTGTAGGTACACTAGCCCGCTGACTTGAAAAATTTGTTTTTACGGGCCCCTTTCACTAAGATTCTTGGCCCCACACTTTGGACCAGCGAAGAAGCACTCACAGAATCCTTCTGTGTTGTCGACGTCCATTAGTACTAAGAATGTATTTTCTTCTCCGGAGTATAGCAGGCTTTATTTAAACACTCTAATGCTGTCCATTTTTCTTGAATCCCCTTGTTTTATACACTCAACCAGATGCCAATCTGATTTCTCTTGTAGAATGGTTATACTAGAACTTGTTGTTACCATTCTGTCATTCATAGAGAAAATAGTTACTGGAATGAATAGATGACTTGGACAAACATATTTACTGACAGATTTGGCAACGTCTCCGGACGCTAGGTAATCCTTAGAGTGAATTTAAAATATATAAATAGGACGCCCAGTCACGGAAATTTAAAAGTTTTGCGTATATTTGGGACGCTCAGTGAGTGTTACAGTGAAAGGAAGCTGAGAAGTCCGTGATGTAAAAAACGATTTTTTCTATGTTTCTGAACAAAACTCTATTGCTTCTCAACACCAACTGCTGTCATATTTTGAAAAATATTCAGCCTATAAAATGCACATACCTTCAGAATTTATAGTGGACGCTCAGATATTGTTTCTTGAAAGGACGCCCGAAAGATAGCGGGATGTATATATATATATATATAGGTATATATTGGAAAAATGTGCAGTTTTTTCTAGTAACATAGGTATACACCAGAGTGGTAAGACACACGTAACACATACGATGTACATCAGTACTCAATCCAGACGCTGACCGCTTGGTAAAAAAAACTTTTATGTATCGGTTCTAAAAAACAAAACAGAAACTGCCCACTTAGCAAATATTGGAGTTGTCTATAATATTTTAGTTTACGCTGAGTGTCTTCGAAATGCTACCGAGGGTTCGCGAGTGCATGTAGATCGCCCTTCAGATCCTTGGTGATTACACAGTGTGTTGTCTTCGTCGAGCACATACATGTGTCTTTGGGTCTATCGCAGACCACTTTGTGTAGTATTTACAAGTGACAGAGGTGTACTTGAAATTAGTTTTTGATGAACGGTGAGTACTTTTTCATCAATTTTTGTTTACATTTTCGCTATTGTTTCACCGCGCATTAGCGCAAGTGCACAACGTACAACTAAAGTATTCGGTCTATGGCTGCGATTTTTTCTGGTATGGGCTAAATGGTAGGTCTTACCAATGGTTATATCATCTTGTAACGGATATTAATAAAAAAATGTGATTTCATTTCATTTTATTTTGAAACTAGTTCAATCCCTGTAGGATCAACCGCACTCAGCGGACTAGATTGTTTGCAGTCCAATTATCGCGGAGAGGAGAGACAGGTGTGTGAATAATTCAAGTGGGTAGAATAATATGATGACGTTAACCTTAACCTATGCTACAATACTTACAAAAGGATGCAAAAGAAATTGAAGTTTATAGGAGTACCCCTGTAATTAGTGCAGTGATTGTGTACTTGCTGCCATCTACTAGCGCGTTACAGCTTTATCGAGCATTACCCTATAGAGATCTTTAAGCGTTGTCGGATTGGGACAAGGCCAGCTACCTTCCACTCCGAGACGCTAAATAACGAACACGAGATGTCAAATTTTTAGGTTATGATTTGATAACCTACAAATATTTTATAAAAACTCAAAACAGAAAATTTAAAATTTAAGCCTAATTTCTAGTATAATTTAGTTTATAGCTTTAGAAAAATGGTCGAGGAACAAAGACAAAGGGTAGAACAAGAGATGACTAAGATGATAAATGAACTAGATGTTGACTACCTAAGAAAAATGCAAGTAAGTAGAAAGCTATGAGTATTCAGTTAGCTGCTATCCTTTATGCTGAAACGTTTCAAACTCGAAGGAAATTATATAAATTACTGTTTGAGTGAGGGACGAAGTAAATATAAGGGTTAGACTGATCTGAATTTCATTCTAGAGAGCAACTCCTCTGGCAGGCTGGGATTGTTGTTTCTTCAGCTAGTCTTTTCTTGATCAGTTGAAAGCCGATCATTTTTGTATCCTTTAGCTATAGGTGTTCAAACTATTTCTCTTTAGTTCTCACTTGTTTTTTATTGATCGATGATTTTAAATAAGATAACTTGTTTATAATTCTTGTGACTAATTCTACATTATTTGGTTTCAGGCAGCAATGCATAAATGTGCAGCGGCATGTTGTGAAAATAATTCAGCTTCCTTAGAAAGTGTGCAAAAATGTGTGGAAAGCTGCTCAGTTAAGTTGACATGGGCTCAAGGCTATGTACAGCGGGAGCTAGAGCAACTGCAAAATAAGTTACAGAGATGTGTTATGGATTGTAATGATGAAGTTCGGGTCAAAATGGGGCCAAATCCAACTCACTCTGAGGTGAATTTATTAACTGGATTGATCTATATCAAATGATAAAAGGAGCAATTAAAAGTTATCCTGTGGTTCTCTCATTGATCAATCTCGGTGCTTCACATGCTAAATAAAACCACAAATGTAAGTAGAGTTATACAATCTACTGACACCACTACAGTGGCCCAAATGCTAGTAGATTTCTCCACTGTACATGTGATTTTGTTTGGCAGCCTGTTAAACATGAAGATTTACAATTTTCGATCATGTTTGTGATATTTTTTATTTTTTCCAGATTGAAAAATATACAGCAATTTTTGAAAAATGTGCAAAAGGATGTGTAGATAAGCAAGTGGACTATATGCCATCATTGCTGAAAAAAATGAAAACAGATTTAGCCAAACAGCAATGATATGTTGGAATCTATTCAGTGAGCAGAAGACTGTTTTTCTTTGTATAGTCAATATGAAAATTCATATATAGTTAGTTGTCTATTTTGTAGGTGCAACATGTTTTTTAAAGGTGAATACATTGTTTTCTAAAAATGTAGTTTTTACTGTAATATCACTGCCTCAATTTTTATCAACTCCCGTAGTTTGAACCCTGTTGTTGAAATATATTTAAATGAGTATTTTCCAAGTTTAAATGCTGTAGAAATAAAACTTACTTCTAAAAATGTATCCATCAGCTGAAACTGAACTAATACACCAGATATTAACTTTCAAACTACAGTGTTTCAAAATCATACATATTTTTTGGTGAAGTCAATTATGATACGAAAAGCCTTACATTAAGCTGTAATAATTTCCTAGGCGTAACAAAGTTGTTCATTTTCCCCACAAAAATTTATGCATCTTCCATTTTTGTCAGTCAGTCAGTACTTAAATTTGTGGTATATGTGGACGGCTAAGAGTTAATTTGCGCACGCCACAGTATCACTCGACAATATTCGATATACGACCCCATTTAGATTTGTCGCGAGTTGTAGTAGGATCCAGGAGCCTCTTGATAATGTTCGACATATGTGGAGTAAAATAATACTTTAACTTTATATTTACAATTCTCGATTGCCGAAATTCGCAGATATGCACACTATATTATGTCACTATAGTCCACTCCATATCTCTTTACCTCATCGAAAAAGATCCTCATTTCAGTATCGGACGACACAATTTGGGCATAAGTAAAGGTACTAAATTAATATCAACTATGACTATAGTAAGTAGGTGGGTACATATCAGTATTTGCAGTCTAATCATATCAACAAATTTTTCAGAAACAATTGGAATGGTTGTTACTATTCGACATTTGTTTGTCCGGACGGTCCGCAGGGGTATCATGTAAAAAATCTAAAAACGTAAAAAACGACGAAACATCAACTTGCAGATTAGGTAGTATTTAGTATGCAAATAGTTCATTCCAAGTTTGCTCGCTATGGTCGCTGTTCGCTGACGTTTAAGCAACATGTACAACTACAATACGAATTCACAACAAGTGTACAACAGCTTGTGTTAACATCTTGTAGAGAAACCTACGTTATGTCACAGAAAACCTACGAAATGCCCAACAAAAAAACCTACGAAGTGTCACTTTTCAGGATACGTAACACCCGTGCCGTAAGAAGTTTGCCACTCGTCGTTGCAAGTTGTTCAGTGGCTATTTAAAACAAGGGGGCATAGCGCATAGAATAGGTAGCTCAATTTCTGTGGGCAAGGTTCTTATTCTATAACAAAGAACGAGAAATCTCGCTTTTTGGAATTCAATCTAAAGCGTTTGTTTCAAGACACCTACAGTGTGAGACATGAAAGATCCAACCAAAAGCAAAAGTTATGACCAAAAACCTCGCCAAAATGCAGGCTTTTGACAGTTGCTGGTAATGTGAAAGCAGTGTCACGCAGATACTTGAAATTTCTCAAGTGTGTAGGTGCCATATCTACTTCTTGAACTCCAATTTCACCAGGTTATAAACCAATATATGGTTGGTGTTCTGCAATAATAGTATAACCCACTTACCTGTTGTTATAAGATAATTAACATATTGTGTTAGACCGCGTTAAAAAAAAAAAACAGTTTGAAAAATGACTTTTATTGTAACTTTTAAATGAACTATAGATACTCATGAAAGTCAAAGTCACGAAAAAATACCGGTTAGACCATTGTTGCAAAATCACAAATTGCTATAAAAGTTCTTGTAACAATAGACTACTAACTAAAATCATCAGTTTGTTTAGATAAGTGAGTGATTATTATTTTCGGCAACTGTACCAAGATCTTCCAATTGCTCCTCGCCGATTTCAAAATCTGGAGTGGGCCCAATTCCTTCTACATCTTCTTGAAAATCTTCACCTTCAATGGTTATCAGGAAATTGCAGAACGGTTTTGCATGCATCGGAATTAACTTTTGTATGTCTAATCTTCCAATTGCAGATTTTCTTCCTTTTCCTGCCCTTTATATGTATTCACTGTGGAATAGATGAGATCTGTGACATATTTTTTCATGTATCTATAGAATGGTGGGTTCTTTTTTTTATCAATATCACGTGAGTTTTCAGCCAAGTTATAGAATCTTTGGTAACAAAATCAAACTTGCGGTTTTTTCTCGATTTTTCCATTACCTTAGTAGACCGCATATCGTCTGGTACAATTCGGTTTAGAGTGAACTGATTTTTTCTTCGAGATGCCTTCATCATTTCAATATACTCGTAGTCCTTATCTGTGTACAATATCTGCTGAAGCTTCAGGGAACATTCAACATCACCAAAATGAGAAAGAATGTAACTATTTTAACTTTTCTGGAATCGACGTAAACAATACCCACTCACGCAGCGTATCTGTCAACTACCTTCAACTAGCAGTTTTTCAGCAATGGATTATTCCACATTGGCTTTATAAAATGTGGCCTAAGACTTTGCTTATACAGGGTGGGGCAAAAGTCACGAAGGGATTTGAAAAATTAATAACTTTTTTAAATTTATTTTGTTTTCATTTTTTTTTTCAGGACCGTGTAAAATAAATCCTGGAGATTAATTATGGAGCGTTACAACCTCAATCAACGAACCAAACTTATAGAATTTTATTTTGAATATCACCATTCAATAATTCAAACTCAACGAGCATATCGTCGTCATTTCAATTTGCGGAATTCGCCCTCTGAATCAATGATTCGACGCTTAGTGGCACGATTTCAGCAACAAGGCACAGTTATGGATCTCCCACGAAGCGGAAGGCCACGTTCCGCAAGAAATGAAGGGAACATTCAACGCGTTCAGGAGAGTGTTTAGGAGAATCCGGAAACCTCAACCCGAAGACGTTCTGCTGAGCTGCAGATGTCTCAAAGGTCTTTACGCAGAATATTAAGAGGAAATTTACATCTGTTTCCATATAAAGTGCAGCTAGTGCAAGAACTAAAACCAGCAGATTTTCAAGAACGACTAACTTATGCAGTTCGCTTGCAAAGAATGGCTCGAGAAGATAATGAATTTATTCATTCTCTGATCATGAGCGATGAAGCCCATTTTCATTTGAATGGCTTCGTAAATAAGCAGAACTGCAGAATATGGGGTACCGAGAACCCAAGGGTGGTTCATCAAAGGCAATTACATCCGCTTAAATGTACAGTATGGTGCGCAGTTACGTCTCAACGAATTATTGGACCATTCTTCTTCGAAGACCACGATGGGAATGCTGTATCTGTAGATGGCGACCGATATCGTGATATGATTCAAAATTTCTTAAGACCAGCTCTTGCTGACAATCAAACGATGACTTTCCAACAAGATGGAGCCACTGCGCATACTGCTCGAGCCACTATGCACCTTCTAAGGCAGATTTTTGGCGAACGTTTAATTTCGAGAAATTCAGGATTCAATTGGCCCGCCCGCTCGCCGGACTTAACAGCCCCTGATTATTTCCTTTGGGGATATCTGAAAGGAAAAGTGTATATTAATAAACCCACAACCCTGCAGCAACTAAAAGATAATATTCGAGCAGAAGTAAGTGCTTTGGGGCCAGATATTCTGACTCGGGTAATGGAAAATGCTCTTGCAAGAGCTGCACTTTGCGAGGCTGAAAATGGCGGTCATTTGCGTGATGTAATCTTTCACACTTAAATTGTAAACAAACTCCAAACATTGCATTTTAGTTTTGTGTTAGGGAAAAAAATTAAAATTAAAATTTAAAAAAGTTATTAATTTTTCAAATCCCTTCGCGACTTTTGCCCCACCCTGTAGATGTCGCCAGGCTATAAGGTGTGGCTTAGATCATTTTTGCTTAATTTTAAGTCGCTCCTGATAAATATTTTGGTAGCAAAAACTTATTTGAAAACAAAGTGAGGGTTAGACCATTGTTGCAGAACCTTGTCCATATAAACTTCGTTCCAACGGCATTTTATAACAATACTAGTGGTTACCCGCGATTATGTACGCGTTAAATTGTTACATATAGATACTTTTTTTTGAGTACTGCTATAATTGCAATGCATTTTAGCAAATCGACAGTCAAATTGCATGCTTGAGAAAAGTGGCTATTTTATTAATGGAGTCACCTGTATATAAGCTGAGGGGGAAAAACCGCGTACTGAAAGATAACACATTAATAATACGAGTAAACTTTACATTGTAAGAACTACCTCCCGGCCAAATTTCGGGTTACACAATCCATTCTTAGCTTGAGTCTACTCTAAACAGAAACTCATCGTTGGCAATTTTTAGATATTAGAAAACTCCAAGCCAGTTTTAACAAACTTGCAAATGCAAATGTCCTTTATCCCTTAATCTGGCCCTGCCACAAAAAGCATTCTTAGTTGCAATGTCCTGTCCATCAGCTTCCTCCCTGCCAAATTTCATGTTTCTAAATGAAATACATAGTTTCCGATTTTCCACAAATTCCTAAAAACTGGAATAACTCAAAAAGGACATGTAGGTATATGGTTTTTCTGATTGCAAATGAACCCCCTATCACCTTTTTCCGTTTGAGTCATGACTTTTGGGGCAGCCTGTATAAATAAATTCAACATCACTTTTAAACAGACTGGGATATTTTCAAGAACTGCAAAGTCTGCACCAGTTCCACTTCTTATATACAGGGCCTTCAAATTCGTCCCTTGGGATCTCGGAAACTGTAAGAGATATGAAGTCGCTTAAATGGGGGCAAAGTTGCGTATTTAGGTAATTAACAAAATGCGGCTTGGAAAGTTTCGAAGTAGGTACTTCCGGAGAAAGACGGAAAAAATCGAATATTGCCAAAATCGATTTAATTTTTTCCAGACCTCATTTGTGGTGGGATTTTAAAATTAATTGCACCTTAACATTACTACTTTTTCTCCTTTACAAGATATCTTGCCAATTCCAATATGATGTTCCGTCTCTTGTCATCCAGCATCAACTTTATTTTTTCTTATGGATGCCATATTGGATTTTTGCACAGATGAATAGAGTTTTGAATTCTGATTTCATTACTTTATACGTTGACATTTCCAAACCTTAGTCATTTCCAAAAACCAGAATTTCCTACATAGGCCTTGAAATTATCAGACATTTGTTTATCATACCAGATTTATCTCAAAAACA